TTATTAAAATTATTTATTATAAAATTTTAAATTTTAATTTTATATTATTCCGTATATTGAAAAATATACTTTCCAAATTATTAAAAAAATGAAAAAATTTAAATTAAATAAGAAATGATTAAATCAAAGTGAATGATTAAATATTATTGTTTAAGAATTAATTAAATTACTAAATTTGATTAAAGTTAAAATTAATATCAATTTCAATTTCATTTTTTTAATGAAATAACTAAACAAATGTATTTTTTGATTTAGTTTTAAAAATCATAGTGAATAGAGAGGGCTCATTGTAATACTTAACTCAAATTTCAATGATGGGAGTTAATAGATGCAATTATTTGCATATGTTGAAAGATGGAAGAAAATTGTTTCACTATTAATTATCAACACGTTTTTATTATTAAAATAACAATGTATTATTATTATATATTTAATAGAAATTTTTATTTTTATTTTATTTTTTTCAATTAAAAAAATGAATAGTAGAATTTTAAATAATAAAATTAATAATATAATACATTCAACATAGCACACACCGTCAACCACAGTTTCCTTCAAGTTATAATGAATTACATCTTCAACTTTCATTTCATATAAATTAGATAAATAAATGCAATATCATCACTATTAGACTTAAGAAGCAATATTACCATAAACTACTTCATCAAAACAACATCTAAATTTTAAATTAAGATCACCTCAAAGTAATAGTATCACTATAAACGCTAACAATAAATAAATAAGATAAATTGACTAAATATAGATAGAGACTGCGACATTATAATTTTTCTCCTTTATTTATTTTTTATCAGATTAGATTAGCAATGCACACGCCTGAGTCGCCGACCTGGAGATAAATCACAAGAAGTCCGAAGTGGTAGGTTTTGAGCTAAGGCAAAAATTTGTTGTAAAATAATTTCAAAGTGGAAATATAAGACTTCAATAATTTATATCCACTAATAAATCATCAAAGCAATATCTAAACTCAAACACATAACAACCAAATATCCCCCTAAAACATTATGAAAAGTTATCCTTACATATAATTAAAATAACTAAATACTCTATCTTTAATTATCCTATCATGGATAATAACCTAATACATGAATCTAGAAATTCACACATAAACAACTCAAACTACAACCTAAATCATGAAGTATATGTGTGAGTTTGCAAAAACAAACTTAGAGAATGATCGTCATTAAGTAAAACATAAACAACAAGGCATATGAACAAATATGGAGGGAATGAAAGAACATAGTAGAAACATTATATAGTGATAGTGGAGATTTTGAATATGATAGTATGTTCTTCATTTTGATAATGCTTTCCAGAACTTACGAAGAATTATTTGCCAACTTATATAATCATTGCATTCAAATGTGACTCGTGGCACTTTAACTCGTTAATGGGTGTATTTATATATTCCTCCACTAAGAATCATTTGTCATTTATATTTTTTCGTATAATAATTTTATGAATACTTTAAGGTATTATATATCTGTTTTTACTACAAATACCCGCTACTTGGAAAGGAAAGTACCTAAAGCCTAAGGAGAGTCCAAAGATTTCCTATAGTTGGTCGGTCACTTCTGCTCGGATTAGACCTGGTGGATGAAGGGAGGGATGAGGGATTTTGAAAATCTTTCTAAGTCGGAGAGGGATGGGTTCCGGCTAGCCACTGTCCAATAGTTAGAGGAATATAAAGATAATCCACACTTTTACAAGCCATCCAACAAACAATCTTGTATCTTACTGATCCTATAAAAATGTTGAGTGGTAGCAAAGGTGCTCCAAATGTTAATGTGATTAGTTATGGAGGAGAATGGATATGATAAGGTATTGGAGGTTGATTCATCGCAAGTTCGGTCTTTCAACTCCATCAGTATTATTAAATAACACACTTTTAAGATGCGTGAACATAAACCATCTCACGGCACTAAAAACTAAAGCAATATCATAAACTAATTTAATTTAAGAAGGGGCAGTGTGTTTTAAACTATAATTTAAGGAAGAGAGATAGATTAGAGTAGAAAATTTAGAAGATATTAGCAAATACGTGTACTAATTAAATCTCTCCGGTTCTCATTAAATTTAGTACAATTTGAAACTTTAACATTCTAATCTTAGCGCTGACTTTTAATTTTCTAATCTGCTTTATTAAATAATACTCGATATTTATTGAGAAGGTAATTTCTACGTTCCTTTAACAAAATTTATATTAATCGTTAAATAGTATACAATTCTATGAAAATAAGAATAATAAGTTAAATATATTTTAATTATTAATATTTTTAAATAAATTTTTATTACATATTATCTTAGTCTAATTGAATTTATTCTCTTTTATTTAAATTGGGGAGAATTTTGTATTTTGGAATAATATTTCTATTAATTAAGAATTATTTTATTTAACAATTCAATTTATTTAATTTAACCTTTTTTATTGTTTTATTTAGATTTTTAATATTTTCTTCAATTAATTAATTTGTTATTTAATTTTTTTTAATAACTATTTTATTTATAAAAATTATTTCATAAATACTTATAAAATTTTTAATAACAAACTTATTTAAAAAAAATCCCATTTTATATAAATTAAATTTTCTTAAGAAAATCTAAAACCAAATTGATTTTAGATTTTCTAAGTTTTTTTTTTTTTTTTTTGCATTTTAAATTTTTTAATTTAATATAATAATGCTCTACTGCTTAATCAAACATTAATTATGACGCTTTTAAAAATTTTGCGTGGTAAAATCTCCACTGTTAAAGGTCAGCCATATTTGCTGGCAGAAGGTGTGGATCCACTCAGCACTAATTCCGACTGACTCGGTAGAGTATGCGACCAATTCCGGCGGTGCTGGAACTCTCCGGAAATCCGCCTCTCTGAAAAACTCGAATTAGATATCCTCCATCCCCTATAAATTAACTTTCTTTGGCAATCGATCGCAGCAAGGAAACAGAATTTATTTGTGCAGATTGGCTTATCAACAATCGTTCAAAGCTTGGATTCCCTAAGAGTGGAAGAGAAATGTCAATCATTTGCCGGAGCAATGTCTTTGATCCCTTCTCGACTGACCTTTGGGACGTCTTCCATGACTTTCCGTTTGGCTCCAGCCTCTACATTCCCAGATCGTGTCTCTCCGACGAGAGCTCAGCCATTGCCGGCGCACGTTTCGATTGGAAGGAGATCCTAGAGGCACACGTGTTCAAGGCTGATGTACCGGGGCTGAAGGAGGACGTGAAAGTGGAAATGGAGGAAGGAAGTGTGCTTAAGATCAGCGGAGAGCGGAAGAGGGAGGAGGAGGAGAAGACCGATACCTGGCATCGTATTGAGCGCAGTAGCGGCAGCCTCCTCCGCCGCTTCCGACTGTCTGAAAACACCAAGGCCGGTGGCGTGAAGGCCGCAATGGAGAACGGCGTTCCGACTGTCACGATCCCAAAGAGGAGGTTAAGAAGCCAGTGAAGTCCGCCAGAGCTCGATCTCTGGCTGGCTGAGGAAATTGATGTATTTCCTAGCAAAGCAAACGCGAGGCTGTTGCTTTTGGAAATCTCTTTGTATTGATCGTGTTAGGCTTTTCTGTGGTGCTGTACGTAGTATTTCTATATTGGTGTCCTATGTAATTTGTTTGCAGAATTGGTTTGTAACACAGTAATGTCTACGAATACATATATATAATTTTATTTCATGATATTTACATTTCTAAAATATAAAACTTTAATATTTACAAACCTATCATCCATAGAATAAATAAATATGAATATATTAAATGAAATATTAAAGTTTATAGGGTGATATAGATGATAAGAATGAAGTATATGAGTGATATATTTGATATTAAAATTTTACATGAGTGATAACAATGTAATATTAAAGTTTTAAATGGTGGATGCGCTCATAAATTCTTCTTAAGGAATTTCTTTAATATCATTCTTCGAAAGCAGAGTTACAATCATATAGGCTACAAATTAGTAATTGCATTGAAACTTTTGCATTAGATTGCTTTAGGACAAAAAAAAAATTCATAGTACAAGCTAACAACAACAAAAAAACCTGAATGCTTCTGACCGACCCAACGTCTCTTGGCTTGAAAAAATTATTACATGATGTCGAACATGTTCGGAGGCAAATGAGAAGATGTCATATCGTCCAATGCACAGTGCATTACATGACGTGTCGCCTCCTCATTTTCCACTGAACCCGTTCAACATCCGCACGTAATAATCTCTCATTAGATTGTGGGTTGTGAGCTTTGATTGCCACTGAAGTGTTGATAGAATACATCAATTTTAAAGATAATAGTTTGAAACAGTTCGGCGATAATGATCGAAATATTGTGCTTCAAAAGGAAGAAAAATTCTCAAATGTCAAAAAAACAATCGTACAAACAAAAATATATTTTCAAATATCAGCGAAGAGATGATACGTTTTCGAATCGACCGTTACGAGCCTCACTGCAGAAATAGCAGCAATGAGAGCCAAGCTGCTGAAGCCTAAAACATTCAGCCAATGCCAAGCCTTTCGAGGAACTGAGAGTTTCTTCATATTTGCCATTAGATACATGTGGTTTGCGAGAACAAAGGTGAGTGGGAATGTGCTCAAAGCCCCAGTCAGGCTCATGAAGTCTCCGAGGAATGGAAGAAGAGCTGAGAGGAGTGTGTTTATGGTGAGGTACCCACCTCTAACGATGATCCGAAATAAAATATTCTTTAGAGCGAAGGGGCTCCCTCCTCTCCCATACTTTGTGTCCAGGTACTCATACATGGGACTAGCAAAAATCTGCTCATAATAACAACAAATTATCGAAATGGTGACTACAAACATTTATAAGGACTCGTTCAGAATTATATTAGTACTGAAAAATATGTGCTGTGCGGCAAGAGACATCTACAGAGTTGAAGAGCATAGCCTGGGGAGAAAACTTGGGCAGCATACAAGATTCCCCTTGACAGAAGCTATATATATAGACGGCAATTGAACATGCATTTTATCATAGAGTCCACGGGTGTGTGCGTGAATTTGACAATAAATTCGCCTAAAGTCTTTAAGAAAAAAAAATACAATCTTAATTATCAACATATGGATTAATTATTATGTGCGGACATTGAACGTCGTCCCGAGACCAACCAAAATGCGCCTCGTCATCCCTTGCTCGGTACCGTGGCTTAGTACTGCTCGGTACCGCTCGATAGCGCGGCTCGATACTGCTGATGTGAGGCATTTTGGTTGGTCTCCGGATGACGTTTTGCGTCCAGTCTCCACTCAAAATAATTTCTCTAGCATAAGAGAGTAAGACTGTGACATAAAAAATCTGACAATACATAACATTCAACATTTATAAGACTTGGAATTTTTACTGCATATAGGGGCTGTTGTGACCACTGCTACATATGCTTACACCCTAGAGCAGGCATATTTCTTGTGTTAATTATGGTAAGGTTCAGCATTTACAAGACTAGACTGCATATAGAAATTGTCATGGCTGTTGCTAAATATGCTCACTATATCCATATTGCAGGTACATTTGTTGTCAACAATGTAATTAGTCAAGGTGAAATTTTGCAGGAGTTGGCAGAATGTACTCACATGTAAAGCAATTACTGTCTGGAGAAAGGATGCAACGTTGGCTACTGTCTTGACCCAAACTGGTCCATGAACGCTGTTGAGGAGATAGCTCGAAGTTGAGGAACCATACGCCCAATAACCCATAAAAGTGACAGCATATAAAGGCAAACCACCAACTGTAAATTGAAACCATAGGGCTTTCTCCATATTTTTAATGGCAGGTTCTTTTATTGTTGCCTGTAGTGAACAGTATGAACCAACAGTTATTTGATAGAAAAATATAGATGATGATGCCGACATTGAAGTTTAAATGCATGAAAGTAATTAATTTTCAAGAAGAAAATCTTAATTTGAATATAGGAGAAATAAAAAAAATAAGTATCCAGCATAAAAACTTCAACGCTGCATCATAGTTTTCCCATGTTAAACGCTATGCTTTATTGCATTATAAGACTTAGCCAATGACCATGATATGTTCAGTTCAATTCTTCAATAATAAATAATTCCCCAAAAGTTTTCTAGCACGCTATGCTTTATAGCACATATAATACTTTCTTTTTCTAGAACACTATCATCCTCGAAACATACTAGGAGCTGCTCCTTATTTGAGCCTTTGCCTTGGCAATCATTAACTGCTCTCTTCAGATTCACTCACCTAGTTCAAACTCAACTTAGTATTAATATCTCCAAACTAAATATTTCACGAGAAATTAGTTATACATGACCAGACTCTTTTGCTTTAAATTCATTAGAAATGTTGGAAGAGAAGGAAAGAACCATGTTCAGGTTAAATGGAAATCCTGACATGGATAGTAAAGTTTAAAACTGAAAACCAAAGAAACATCTTGAACTTTTGATGAAGTTTTAATAGAGTAAACCTGTATTTCAGGCAGCATCCCAGTATTGTACGCAAAAACAAGATTAGCAATTGCACCAATGGTACTGAATATCCTGTCCCAGTGTGATGCAGGAATGCTGTAATCCCTTTTCTGACTGTTCAATCCTGTACATATAGACCAGGTTAGCACTCAAGCGATAGTCCTCTTTAAACATATATGCCCATGTCATCACAGAAACTTTTCAGGACGTTATATTAGTAGCTTTGATGTTAATAGACGCTATTTTATGCTGTTTATGTTTTGTATGTCAAGCAGGCAAATGGTTATTGGAAGAATTCAAAAAGAGTTGCACATAAATATGCAGAATTCACAACGGTTAATAAGAATTACTGTAACAGTGGCATGATAATTGCCATAAATTGTGTGGGTACGTAGCCTAATGCACTACAACGTTGGCATTATTAATAGGAGATATTTCTATTTTGCAAATTTAATTATTTCATTTTCATAATGACTTGTTCAACATTAAAATAGAAGGGGAAATCAACTTTTTTGAGAAGAGTTTTGACTATTGTTATTCCTTAAGACTAAGGTTTTCTTGTAAGGAGTTGCTTCTACAGTGCTGTTCAAAATCCTTCCATATGAAAATTCTAATGTGCAGGAAACCTACAATAATGCAAGTACCAACCGTCCAAAAACACACTATCCATTTCTTGACCATCGAGACCACATGCAAAACAGCTCTTCTATATCTGTTAATGCAGGGGACACTTCATTTTGCGAAGCACTATCAATGAAGCCTCACTATCAATGAAAGCCTCAGCCAATTCTCAAACCTGGGGCTGTTAATTACGCAGCCACTACTACAGCTATCAGATGTTTAGTCCTTTGAAATGAAGCTTACATAATTTGGATACGACAATCAAATAGAATTAACACATCTTATCATTATAATATGTAACTCTATTAGGAATAAAGATGCAGTGTTAAAAAATTTCGTTCAATGGCAAATATTTGGTTTGAAAGCATGAATTGGTTGAAACGCTCATAAATAAAATCATAAAAGAAAACTGCTATCAATGAAGTTATCATGTATAACCATACATAACATAAACATATCAGGTGACTTGCTCAGAACATGTTTGCATGAGAAATATTTCTTACATAACGTCGATATTAAAAAAGAATTAATAAAACTATTCTAAAGAAAACAATCATCAAGTTTATGAAAAATTAGTACTTAAAATATTCTATGATAATAAACTTTATCTTCGAACTACTTCAGAATTTTACGAGAATATTAATGCATGATATTTGTACTTGACTGAGTTTGATGAATATTACCATCCCGAAGTGAGAGCACAAACGCTATGACAATATATACAAAACTGAAGAACGTAGAGAATCCAAGCCATATCCTCAAAGCAGATAGATGAGGTATTCCAAAGGCAAAAAGAGCACAAACAACTCCAGCAATTGCTATACAGTATGGGAGCTTCAAAGCACCATCATCCCGGTACAGAACATAAATAGCCTGCAAAAAAGCAAGTGCAAGCCTGAACATCATCAGCTGGCAAGAAACAATAACAACTGCAAATAAAGTTCAACAACAAAATAAAAAATTTTTTAAGGGCTTGAATAGAAAGCCAATGAAGGATTTCTTTTCCAATATGTTAAGGCCAACATTTCCAGAATAATCTTATTCCAGCACATGTTTAGGCAATTGGCATGGAACTCCCTATAGTTTGGTCTTTCTGTGAAAATGATTTAATTGAAGTCATCACGTTTTGAATAAATCAGAAAGCAAGAACTTAGATCTTTTCTTGGTTCACCCTTCGAATCCTATAAAATCAGATTTGTTTGTTTTCAATCCATTGGTAACATTGTTATGCTGCAGTTCGTTTTTTTGACTGAAATCTGTATTTCAGTTTTGATTAAATATAGATTAGTTCCAAATTAGTCTGTTGGAAAATCCCTATTGCAAGATATATCATGTTTCAAACAGAAAAAAGATAGTTTTATATTGATTTATTGTTGGAATCTAGATAATCTGGACTTGTTCTTAAGCATTTCTGGTACTAATTATTGGTGCACTGTGCTATCTATAATATGTGTTTAATTTTAGGCATTGATTAAAAAAGCAGCGCATATTTCTCAAGGTGAACCTCACAATGAGGTGTACAAAAAAAGCCTAGAGGCTTAAGCCTCTTTTTGGCCAAGGCATATGCCTTGACACGTTTGAGGCAGGCGCCTCAAATTTGCAATTACAAAAAAATCATTTTGTTATTTTATATTATAATATACTTATAGCATACTTAATAAATAATATAGTTCATAATATACTTTTTTTTGGGACATTTAGGCCAATTAAAACAAATTCACGCACACACCACATACGCAGGATTCGAACTCAAGACCTCTTAATTGATAGTCAAAGCTTCCAAACAACATATCTAGATGAGCTGCGTGTTGGCTGGTAGCCTGGTACACCCTGAACCGGCCCAGTCGGCCCTCAGGTCTATAGGAGGGAGAACTCAAGTATTACCCTTAGGGTTACTTGCAAACTCAAGAATTTCCTATCACTACCAACTCATAGTATACTTATATTTTTGTTCTTTTTTTGGGTAGTTGAGCAACAGAGGGTTTACAGTCAAGCAAGCATCAATAAGACTTGAGAGAGATATTGCGTGAGCAAGCAACAATCGTGCGAGTACTTTGCAACCACAGTTGTTCTTAGAGACATGGTTTTAAGGTGAGTTAATTTTATTTTCGTTTCTTTTTAAAAAATGATATTTTTCTTGAATTTCTTTTAATATTTTTTATACATCTCCAAAACTATTTTGATTGAGCACGAATCTCGAGTTTTAGATTAGCTTCATCCTATTAATAGAGATTTGTAAAAGGATGAAGACTTAAAATAAACTTACGAATCCCTAGGGTAGACTCCTAAAGGTCCTTGGCCCCACTATGCCAAGCTAGGATTGACCTAGTCTATAGGTCTCAAAAGCCCAACATGGGGTATGAGGTAATTAGAAGTTTGGGTTTTCTAAGACTAGCCAATGCTAAGTCGTTAAGAATTCATGTATGAGGGTCCTATAGGAAAGGACCTATACAAATGAAAGGATCCTCTGAGCTAAGACTAAGCACTTGAATGTTCTATCAATCTCATTCAAAAATAAGGTCAACACTTAGAAATATGACATTATACCAAGAAAAGATGCACAAAAAAGTTACGCTTACTTAAAATGTAAATTTTGTGATAAGAGATTGGCTAGTAGGGTTGTTAGGCCCATTGAGTGACAAATTTTTTGAAAAATGCTAGATTTCAATGGGTTGGCTTCAACCTGTTTGATTTTAAGGTATCTTGATAAAACCGACTATAGATATGCATACAAATATACATTAGAAATGAGAAAGGACTGATGAGTCATCTTTGGAGATGTAATATTATACTTGACATATTAGAATATGGATATCTTATTATAGAAATAGATTGATTAGAATTTATTATAAAATAATTATGAGCATCATTATACTTTAAACAAACTTATAACATGTGACACTTTTATTTATGGACGTTTAATGCGGCATTCCCAATGTCTTTTTTTTGTGCTTTAAACATGAGTTGCTTATTGAATTAGAGTTATCAAACTCATTGTAAAACTTTTTTCATGATAAAAAGAGCATATAAAGGCTTGTTGTTTAAACGTGAAATCTTGTTTTCCGTAAATACCATGCAAGAGATATAACACTTGCCTTGATTGGTTGTCTCTAGTTCTAAGCATAATATGTTGCTTCATATTAGACGACTCTCATGCATCTAGATGCATATAAGATAAAATGAATCCGTAATAAGTGAAGCGACTTGGTGCTTGTGCCTTCGATTGCTGGTTTTTAAAAAATAATTTGATGTGCCTTAGGTTCAACTATGTTGCATAGTGGACATTGTCAGAAGAGCAGGTTTTTCAAAAATAGTATTGCTTTTGATTTTAAGTCTATATTGTTCTATGTATACTCATGCTGGGTTTGGACAGTTTTGTATACGCACTTGTTGTTTCTAGTTTCTTTCCTGTTAGTCATTATTTTTTTCTTTTTTGTACTAGTGTTATGGACTCTATTAATGAAATAAAATATGATTTCTTTTCATTGCTTACTCTTCCATGTTCTGCTTATAATTATTAGTATATAATTTTTTTTTTTTTTGAGTACAAAACAAGTTTAATTGATTATGATTTTTAAGGTTTACTTGGATGGACGAGGCCAATCCTTTCGCCTTGTTCAGACCCAAGGTTTTGCTTAAGACTGGCTCAAAAACATTTGGTCTGATCAAAGACCAAAAAAAGAGATCATCTCCCATCCGAAAATTCAATGTTGTTTGGTTTTACTTTCCATCTTTTAATTCTCTCATTCAACTCCCATCCCTGCAGCTCGGTCAACCTGTCTGCATATATACACACTAAATAGCTCAAAGTCAAAATAGCAAAGCTAACTAAAACAATTTCTAGTTAGGTTTTAACTTTCAAACCATCTCCGTACAGATTATAGTTTTAGATGTTTAGAGATTCAGTTGAAATACCATATAAAAAAAAAATAGCAACAATTTCTAGCAACCTTTAAAAACAAAAATTCTTTACTAAATATATTGTTTTAGCGAGATAAAAGATGGAGAATGAAACTTATTCTAATCACCTATAACAACAAAAAACAAATTATGGAAATCATTTTCAAAATACCTTGAGTGCTTGCCCGGCCAAAATGATATAACCGGTGTTGATCATGAAAAGATTCACATATTGGAGGGCCCATGTAAGACAATACATTTTCCTTCCTGTAATTTTGAAATAAAACAACATGAGAAAAGTTTCTCAAGAAGAAAAAAAAAATCTACATAAAAACACTATCAGGTTTTTGTGCAGTTGGCTGTTTTTCTGTTGTGGACAGCAGTTTTTCCTTTGGATCCTCGTGGTTTTGGTGTGAAACACTTGGAAATCCAAGTGTTTCCTATCAAAAGGATAATTTGAAATCAGATAAAATTTTAGAAATTCAATACCAGTGAAAAAAATCAATAACATGTAATATTTTCGTCATATATTTTGTAGAACTTGTTCAATGTTAAAGTGTTTGATATAAGATCTAGAGAACAGCCAGGAATCTTACCATATATGTGACCAGCAAGATCTCTGTATCTGATTTGCCTTTTACCTCCGACATTATGAAGACGAGCAATAAGAACATTGGCATTCAAGGATATTGCAGCGGCTAAAAGTAAACCAACTACACCACCTATCCATCCCAAAGGAACCATGATTGATCCTGAATACCCCAATACGTAAGAGCTGTTGATCCCCGTTGTGAGAACAAACCCAACTTGATACCAAGGATCTGGAGCACCCATTTCATGAGCAACATTAACAACAAGTTTAAAAAAATAACTGAGTATAAAGTAAATCTGAGCAAAACTAACAACTTTGCCATGAAACCAATTTCATTTCAAGGTAAAAAGTTAACATATTGAGAAAGTACAACAAGGCTGATTCAAACTATTGTAGAAAGAAAAACGCTCCTAATACCACTTGGACATTCTTGAGCATAAAATATGTAAAATTTGGGTCCATGGTTCGAGGTAAGGCCCATATGTTGATGGAATAACAAAGAAATGAAGATAATACACGGAATATCATGGTAGCCTCATCTAGAATTGACAAAAAAAGAAATAGTATATCATTTCACCAAGAGACTGGAAAAAAGATTTTGGCAACTAATAGTGAGCAAAAGAAAAAAAGAACACATTAAATTCTCAAGGTATTTCAATCTTTTCTTAATTAAGATGGCTTAAATAAGAGAAGCATACTCAAATTCATTGTGTAAGGTATTGCCATCATCATGAGCGGATCCCCTTAAGCTCAACGGGGCAATTCCCCCCCCCCCCCCCCCTAAAACAATTAAAAATTTCTTTATTATATGTATTTTTTTGTAATAGTCCCTCTCCATCTATTTTTTAGTCTTTTACAAGGGTTTTTAGGCAATTAAACCCCTAAAAGTTTTAAAATACTATGTCTTTAGGAATCCCCCAGCATAATTAAACACATTGTATAGAGGTGTAATTATTAAGAACGATAAACAAATAAAAGAGAAATTAAAAGAGAAATTATCATTTTTATTATAATTTGAATTCAAAAAATCCTTACAACCAGGTTGAACTCCACCAGGAGGCGTTGCCCCATTAGACCCCCGACATATCTGTGAGCGCGACGTTCATGATATGAAAAATAGAGGTGAGCCAATTCAAAGCAACTTCAACATACATTTTGTAGAAATTGAATGATTAATCATCTTTAGCGACCATTTTCTTTCTTTATCTATTTTTTTGTCGCTATTGCCCATTTCTTGTAGCGAAGGTTGAGCCAAATTCGATGGGCAACACCAATTGTTACTTATAAGTTTGCCCCCCCCCCCCCTCCACCCCCCCCCCCCCCCCCCCCCTCCTTTTTTTTTCCCCACCCCCCCCCCCCCCCCCCCTAAAAATTAAGGTTGGATCCGTCCTTGGCCATCATTGTCATCATCGTCTTCATTAGAGTTTTCATTTCATGTATCAAGGGTTTTCATAATGTATTTCATTTTTTTAGTAACGTGTATGTTATTAGGATTTTATGTATGATGTGAGCTTTTATTTATAACATATATTTATCACAAGAGCTATGCCAATCTAATATCCTCCTTCAAGCTCAACAGCCACTCAGCCAGCCCCCTCCCTCTTCTCACTCCTCATAATGTCGTCGGTCCCCTCCTTCCCTTGGGAACCACATGTAACTCTTCAATTTTCCTACCATAACTACTTCATTTTCCTTGCGTAAGCCTTTGGTCCCATCTCCTGTCTCTTGCTAGAAATACTCAATGGTCCAAATGTGATCGCTTATGTAAGAGGTTGTTGAATGAATGACAGATATTGCCAAGTGCTAAAATTCTTTTTGTGTTCTTCCACCTTCGCATGAGGACGACTTGAGCCTGTATGAGGGTGATCCCTAAGAGAAGGACTTCCAAGAAGGGATATATCATTTACACCGAACGACTGCTCATCCAGGTCATCTTCAATATCTTAGTTACACCTTCTATGCGATTATTATTGTTCCTTTTTCAACTTTTATGCCCTCTTTCTTCTCTCGATTTGTTACCGTCAACTCCAAAACAAATAAAAATTATAACTTTCATTGAGTGAGCATTCTGCAGGTAACTACCCATAATAATAGTCGGTTTAATTAAAACAATCAGTGGAGAATTACATTTTTAAAACTTCATAATGACGCTCGATCGTCATCTGGTGCTAGGCCCCTTCAAGCTAAAATGTCCCAAAAAGCAAAAACCATGGGGAAAAATCAGAGTGCTGTTATCTGGACATCAAGCTCGGGGTCAGCTCCATTCAAACCTATTTCACCATCCAAGAGCATACAAATTCTAAGGAAATTAAGCCTTTGTAAATTAATCAACAAAACAGGAATATCCAAAAACCATCAACTGTTCACCGAAGGAGATTCAAACACCCCTCATTTCCTTTTCAGTGGGCCGGAGGTAGCCGAGCGGAACCACATGAACACTTATTCAATGTTATAAGAACAAGAAAATCCACAGGGGCTCTACCTACACGAATTTAGACCAACAGAAATGAAATGTTGGGAACAAAAACGAAGATCTGAAATAACGACAAAAAACAAGCAATCATCACTCACCGGCAACAATAAACGCGAACACTAATTCCCAACAAAACAAACAAAAAACAATAAATTTGAGTGAAATTTCCTTCGAAAGAAAGAAGAACGCGTTACAAAAACGTAAAGCAACCAAAAACAAAATCTCATTCACCGAATCAAACGAGAACAACAAAATACCTGTGCTAATCTGGTGCGCAGTTTCATCCGACACCTCAACAGCCGGCCTCTTCTCATCGTTCCGAGCCCCATCCTCTCCGACCTCCACCATCATCGCCATCACCCAACGTCCCACTCCCTCCTCCGCGACACGCTGAGGCAAGAAAGCAGCAGTGGCCTCCCTGTCTTCCGCGGCGCAGTAGAAGAACGAGGAAGCACGGAAGAGGAAGAGCTAAGACAAGGTAGGGTAGGAAGAGGAGATTGAAGAAGGAAAGGAGAGGCGGCAACGGAATCTCCTTACAGACTATGCGCCGAAAGTGCGGCTGTCCCTCCATTCCCTCCTGCTATCCATTTATAGAATGCCGACATCCAATCGAGACGGGGAATTTCAAAATAAAAACCACCATTGCAAAAGGAAAATGATTGGTCGTCATCTGTGAACCACAAACTAACAAAATCGTGACTTTTGAGTGCTGTATTTCGGCATATGATTTAAAAAAAAAATAGAGAGAGAATATTTCTGAACCAATTTCTAAATATTGATATTGAATAAGTTCTCATTTATGCGAAAATTAGTTTTATATCGTTAAAAAAATATCACAAATAGGATTTTCGCTGCTGGTCTGCCACTTGGTGCAGCACTCCCTGACGCGGCAGCAGAAGAAGAGAGTGGCAGCCAATCGTATCAGGAATGGCTTGGAAGTTTAGGGATTAGGATAGTTTTTTATTATTTTGTAGGATAGGTTTTTTATTATTTTATAAAATTATTAAAGATGAAATAATTTCTTAAACTTTGGTAGAAAATAGTTTTCTAATATTTTTCTGTTGAAGATAGTGAAAAAATAATGATCAAATAAAAATTATATCTAAGTTATGAAAATCAAAGTTTTAAGAAAATTATCTTAAATAAAGCTTTAGTTTAAGATGCAATTCATATTAAAATTAGACTTCATTAGGTACAGCTTTTCATTTTCACGAAACTTTTATAAAAAAAATTGTTGTATAAAGTATTAAGAAAATTGTTCAAATAAAATTTTAGAAATCATCTTCTACTACAAATATTGAGAGATGTATATATATTCTATTGGTTGCTGAACTATGATGAGACAATTCTGCTTAACCCCGAGTTGGCCTTGAGCTGACAACCTTGCTGGTTAGTGTGGTTATCTCCGCGCCTTTTGATGTTAGGTGATGTTTTTTGAACCTCGGCTGGTTGCTTTGTGGCTTTCTCTGTCAATGGATGGTCGTCTCTTCGCTACTCGGTGGGTGCAGGATTACCATACTGAGTCCTTTTTGGTGTAACATCTTTTTTTTTTAGACTTTTATGCGGCATGTTTTATCTTCTTAGCTAGTAGTTTCATAACATTGGACTCTTATGTTATATTCAGATTAATTGATCAGATTTAGATTTTATCTGACCTTTATCTAGTCTGAATAACTTTGACCAAAATTTGGTCTATTCACTGTACGGATCAAATATATTTAATTTGAATCCAACTTGATCTGAGCCTATTAATTCAAATTTGACTCATTTGATCTGCTTATCAAATAAATTCTACAATTTTTTAGATTAATATTATCCCTTTAAGCTGAGGCTGACCATTTAATTTGAACTCGAATTAAAATCAAGTCAATTTCAAATTTTCGAATCAATCAAAACTTAGTCATAAATTAATTGATCAACTTGAATTCAAATTTTTTTAATCATGTTCAAGCTGGAATGTTGGCTTGTGCCATTCATTGATACTCTATATAGATGATAGATTGTAAAAGATAGTGTTATCTAAATTATAACTATTTTTAAGTGCCCAAATTAAAATTAAAATTATAAAAAAAATGAGCCGAGATATTTTCATTAATGTTTAGGCTTATCTCATTAATGTTTAGGCTTTGTTTGAGATAATTTTTTTTGCTCCTTCTTAAAGAATTTTTTTTCCAGGAAGAAAGCCGTCTCAAATGAACTCTAGGACGGCTTTCTTATCGTTTTTAAAGCAATTTTTAGTATAATTTTTTTAATTTTTGTACTAAAATACTGCTTTAAGAAGCAGGAAGAAAGGAGTCCCAGACAAAGCGTTAGCATGAATTTTTTTAGATATTAAATGTCGAAATACTGGGGCCTAAGCAAAAATCCGCCGGGCCATGAGAATGGATTCTAAATTTTACATTGATTTATTTATTTTTAAAGTCAATATAATATATAAATAATTATTTAATTTTTTTATACTGAAATATTATTTAAATAACTTTTTAACGATAAACTCCCAACATTCAAAGATCATTTGATCCTTTGATACATGTCACAAAATTTTTAGTTATATTTTAAGTGATTGAATTGTGCTCAATTGGAATCAGATTAAATCAATTTTGATGTTGATGATTTGTATTGAGAAATTTAATTTGAATATAATTTTTAAAAAAATCAAAATTCTGATGATCTTGAATGTAAATTTAAAAATATTCAATTTGAATATTAATAAAAAATTCATGCCAATTAAATGAAATTTCAGATGCTACATCATTTACATACCCTCTCTCTTCAACCTTCTGCTAAATTCCAGAACAAACACGCTTCTTTCGAAAATTTGGCCCATTTACATACCCTCTCTCTTCAACCTGTAAAAAAACCTATGGAAGTCTAGAATTTAATTTCAAATTCAAAATAGAAATAAGTTGCAATTGAAGATTGAGATTATTATTCAACTTTTTTAGTATTTTACTATTTTTAATATATTTCAAAATGTTCAGGAAAAGGAGACCAAGAGTTTAATTCATATTACTCTCTGTAGTGTTTCTTTGGAGTATATTTGAGACTGTTAAATTTTTTATAAAATTAATTATAAAATTATTGTCGGAAAATAACTTATTTAAAAGCTACTATAAAGAAAAACTTTCCAGCACAAAAATTTATTAACAATAACAAAAAAATAGTAGCCAAATATAACTATAATTGTAATTTAAAAGATAAAACAATGAGAAAATTGTCTAAAATAGAAGCTTTCTTTCACCCAAGCAGGTAACAAGATTGATACGTCATCAAAAAATTATCTTGATTGGGCATGAATCTCAATGCAAAATCAAGTTGGAAACTTACGAAATTAAAATTGGGACCATCTGAACTCCGATTTCAGCATACTTACAGTCGAACTGAACGTCTCGGAAATACGAACCCTACGACACCAAATTTGATTCAATCTGAATCCAAATGGATCCAAATCAAGGGTCCGAAGCGCTTTTGGAGGGTTTGAACCACAATTTGGATTACCAAACGGTTTCCAAACATGACGTGCTTATAGTCAAATCGAGTGGCTCGATGAGACGAATCCAACGAGCCCAAGTTCGCCGAATTCCGACATCATTAAGACCTTTAATTGTCTGACAAACGGTCCACAATCAAGAGATTCAACATCGGCCGCCATCCAACCACTCCCCATTTACCCTCGATCTCTCACCTATTTACGGGTCATGCCACTCCATAAATTTATAAATAGACTCCTCATTTCTCTTGAAAGGGGATCGAAGCAAGAAGAGAAGAAGGAAGAAGAGAATGAAGAGAAGGAAGAAGCTCCTCCTCGACCACCGTCGGACTTCTGTCGGACCACCACTTGAGACCCTCTCCTCCGCCGGACCACCATTTGAGGACCTCACCTTTGCCGGAGCACCACTAGAGGCCCTCACCTCCACCATCGCCTGACGTCGTTGCTCTGTCGGACCACCACTTGAGGCCCTGAGCTCCGCCGGACCACTGCCTGACGTCGTTGCTCGGCCGGACCACCACTTGAAGCCTTGAGCTCTACCGGACCATCGTCTGACGTCGTTGCTCCGCTAGACCACCACTTAAGGCCCCGGACTTCCTTCGGACTACCACCTGAGGCCCGGATTTCCACCGGACCACCACTTGAGGACCTCACCTTTGCCGGACCACCACTGGAGGCCCTCACCTCCACCATCGCCTGATGTCGTTGCTCTGCCGGACCACCACTTGAGGCCCTGAGCTCCGCCGGACCACTGCTTGACGTCGTTGCTCGGCCGGACCACCACTTGAGGCCTTGAGCTCTGTCGGACCATCGTCTGACGTCGTTGCTCCGCTAGACCACCACTTAAGGCCCCGGACTTCCGTCGGACTACCACCTGAGGCCTGGATTTCCACCGGACCACCACTTGACGCCCGGACTTATGTCAGACCACCCTTTGAGGCCCAAACTTCTGTCGGACCATCACATGAGGCCTGAACTTTTATTAGGCCACCACCTGATGCCTAGGATTCTAACAGAGTATCGCCCTACTACAACGGTCTTTCTGACCCCGGTCTCCTGCCAACTACGTTCCTTCCAATTTCCATCGCCTACTATGGTCCTTCTGACCTCCATCACCAGACAACGGTCTTCTAACCCCGGTCTCCTGCCAACTACGATCTTTCGGACCTCTATCTCCTCCCGACTACGATCCTTCTGACCTTCGTCGCTACTATGGTCCTTCCGACCTTCGTCGCTACTATGGTCCTTCCGACCTCCATCAACAAACAACAGTCTTTCTAATCTCGGTCTCCTACAAACTATGGTCTTTCATACCTCTGTCTCCTGCCGACTATGATCCTTCCGACCTCCATCACCAGACAATGGTTTTTCCGACCTCTATCCTATCGACTATGGTCATGTCGACCAAACAAACACATCTATGTTGATTATTGTAACTCCCACCATGTAATGCACTCTATATGATGTACATTTGTGAGATCAAGCCAAAACCTTCTCCTAAGGAAGGGCCTCATTTGTAATCGGCTGCAAATACTAGTGGATTCATTCAAACTAGGTCAGGCCCCGTGGTTTTTCCCCCTTTTTAGGTGTTTCCCCCTTTTTAGGAGTTTTCACGTAAAAATTCTGATGTCTCTTATGAACGCTACACACACTCTCTCTTATCTGATTGTATGCTGTATCTTTGTACAATGCTTAGATGTTAAACTATACATTTCTCTACCGTTGCTAATACTCCAGGACGCAACAAAGATAAAGAGTAAAATTGATGGATACAAGAGAGCAATAAAAAATATATAATAAATGAAAATATTTTTATGATGAAATATATATTACAATAATAAATCTTATGAATTCATAATTATAAGAATAATTTTTTTTCTGTGAGAGTAGCTAAAGGAAGATTCTCAAGTTGAATACTAGCAAAAATTAACATTCATACTCAGTATAGTTTGTAATAAAAAAAAATCTTTTTGTTTTCAGGGGAAATGACCATAACCAAGAATACTTATAATACATTTCAAACTTCCGCGCTAGCAGTTTTTAAAGCTTGGTCCTGCCAAAATTCAAGAATGTTTCCAGCAAGATTTTTGTTGTAGCCAATATTTGGAAAAAAAGAGGAAAAACTGATATGCCAGATATAATTTATACAGGCTCACCTGTTGGTGTTAAAAAAACAAAGGACGTTTCCTAAATTCCTGCTGAGGCCGTTGAAGGAACTATACTCCAGAAAGGAATTTCTCCACCTTTTCAACTTCCTCCACGCTCCCAATGAACAGTGGAACTCTCTGATGAATCTGTAACGACATTCACGTAAGAAAGGGAATAGCAATGATTAGCGGGTTCGGATAAGCTAACGGTATAATATGACGATGACTCAAATCTTAACGTAATTATTTGCTTCAGCTCTAACATAGTTCCGATGAAGGGTCGTGACTCGTGACTCAGCTCCACTTAGGAAAAATATGTTTTCCAGTGATTAAGGTATTATGTACTCCCATATTCACCTAAATAAGATCAATCAAGTCATATTACGAGCTACGCAGATCTCCTTGGTCTGTTGATTGTTGATTGGATGTTTTGGTTGGTGTTGAATATTGGTCCATGATTTACGATAGTTTCTTCATGTGTACTTTCTTTAGTTTTTTTTGAATGGCTTGTATTGCCATTGGTGCAGCTATTAGTTGCCTATAAATAAAGGCTTGATATGTTATTAAAAAATTATCTTGATCGAGCACGAATCTCGAGGCAAAACCAAGCTGGAAACTTTAAAAATTAAATCCGGGATCACCTGAACTCCGATTTCAGCAAACTTATAGTCAAATTGAGCGTCTCGGAAATACGAACCCAACGACACCAAATTCAACTCAATCTGAGCCCAAATGAGTCCAAATCAAGGACCCGAAGCGTCGTTGAAAAGTTCATACCACAATTTGAGTCACCAAACGGTCTCTGATTTTAACGAGCTTATAGTCGAATCGAACAGCTCGACGAGACGAATCCAGCGAGCTCAAGATCGCCGAATTCCGACATCACTAAGACCTTCAAATGTCTGACGAATGATGCACGATCAAGGGATCCAATTGATCACTCCCTATTTGCCCCTTATCTCACACCTATTTACTAGCTATGCCACTCCATAAAATCTATAAATAAAGCCCTCATTTCTCATGAGAGGGGACCCAAGCAAGAAGAAGCAAGAGCAAGAAGAGAAGAAGGAGAGGAGAAGAGAAGAGGAATAACTCCTCCTTGACCACCGCCGGAGCTCTGCCCGACGCCCGAGTAACACCGGAATTCTGCCGGACGCCCGGGTGATGCTGGAATTCTTCCCTAGTGACGCCAGAATTCTGCCCAACTTCTGAACGACACTTGAATTCTGCCCGACCTCCGAAGGATGCCAGATTTCTGCTCGATCTCCAAGTGAAGCCGGAACTCTGCCCAACATTGTAATTGGATTTCAATCCGGAAGTAAAGCATTGTAATATGATCGTCCTGAATTTTAAGGACGAATCAGCTTCTTGTATCTCAATTAAACACTAGTGGAGCTTTTTCAACTGGGCGTGACCCCGTGGTTTTTTCCCTTTCCATGGTTTTATACGTAAAAATTCAGGTGTTATTTTATCTTCTGTTTGTGTGCTGAATATTCGTTCAACGCTAAGACGAATACTTTCTAACTCTACCGATGCGTATATTCTAGCCCGCAACAAGGCTATAGGTTGTAATAGAGATATGGTTAAGCAATAAAAATCTAATTCATCTCTCTCTCCCCCCCTTCCCCCTCTCCCTCCTCTCCCAAGGAATTGCTTCTTGCTCTCATCAAAGATCCAAACAGTTGTCAACTAAGAGGTCTTGGATTCAAGTCATGTGTATGTGTTGTGTGTGTGAGGCCGAACGTGTCATAATGTTTAGTAAGCCAAGAAATTCATTCATCTCTTAAGCATTTTCACACCTATATTGGAATATCATGAGGTCCAACAATTTTCCCACGCTTCATTTTCTTTAAAACCTCTCTTACTTCATTTTTAGTACTACGTCAATAAAAACAAAAATTTCTATTTTCATTTAGAATGTTGAATTCACTAAAGTCATTTCACAATCTTCATTGAAAAACTTTGCAAAATATTTCATCCACTTTTGTTGAATATCCTCTTCTTAAAAAAAAAAAACTTTTTGACTCTCAACATTAAATTTGATCTCTCAACATTAAATTCCTCGTGCTTAATTCATACCTCTAATAAAATCTTAGATATCATAACATTCAATCCAGCATATTCTTTAAAAATGTTTATATGAGAAATGCATCAACTATATTGCGTGTGCATTTAAAGCTGCATTGCTTCCGAAAGATTTCTTGACATACAAATCTAAATACAAAATCAATAAAACAAATGTATTCCTCATATAAAAATTTACACAGAATTCCTTTAAGCTTTTATTCCCATTCTGCTGACCTTAATTATATAACAAACGTAAACCTTTTAATATGCTTGCAATATTAAGTTCTTCCTATATTCGCCATAAAAATTGTTTTTATTCTTGATAACTATCTCTTTGGAGATTTCACAAGCAAAGCAACAAAGATGTACGCAACTCAACTTGGTTTATGCAACTCATCTTGGTCTGTTGATTCAGAGCTTTGATTACCAACCAACAGATCTAAGATTCGAGTTTTAATTGGCCTAAATGTCCCAAAAAAAATCAATTTGATGTTGGTTGAAAAATTTAACTACTAATTAAGACTTCAAGAGACCTTGAATTTGAGTCTAGATGCACGCACTATTTTAATCCCAAAGCTCCATGTTTAATTATTAGACGTGCAAAGCTAATGCATAACCCTTTTTTAATCTATTCTTCTACTCCGCAGATATATATATGGCAATGAATATGAAGCAGTCAAAAGAAAGGAGAAATCACAATACCTCATTGGGAATGATATCGAGGATTCGGCGGTGGCCGTCCGATCCCTTACCCCCCGCCTGCTCGACGATGAAGCTCATGGGCGCACACTCGTACAAGAGTCTCAGCTTCCCGTTCTTGCTCTTACTATCACGCGGGTACCCGTATATCCCTCCGTAGAGAAGAGTTCTATGAAAATCGCCAACAAGGCTGCCGATATACCTGGCGGAATAGGGATTGCCGGTCGGGCCGGGCTCCTTGAGGCTGTCCATATAGGCCCGGAGTCGCTCGTCCCAAAGCAGATAGTTCCCTTCGTTGAAGGCGTAGATCTTGCCGGACCGCGGGATTCGAACCTGTTCCTGGGTGAGGACGAACTCGCCGTAGAGCGGGTCGAGATTGAAGACGAAAACGCCCTTGCCGAGTGTGAGGACAAGGATGACGGAGCTCGAGTACATTACGTAGCCGGCGGCAAGGAGGTTGGTTCCTGGCTGGCACACGCTTACCACGCATCTCTCCTCTGAACGATCCAGCTGCATTGTCAAGTGCTTATATATAAGGAATTCCTTGTAAATCCCATGTAAAGATTGAAGTGGGAGTTTAAGCTCTGGAGGCAAAGCTCCAGTCCAAATCGTCTAACGATGATTTCTTGATGTAAAAAAATTGTCGGTGAAATATTAATATAAAACATTAGTGTAATCACACATATATTATACCCTCATGATCAATTTTTTTATCAAGAAATTCAATAATTTTGTTTCCAGATAAACTTTTGATCCGAATGGGTCATTAATTGCTCCTGCATTTCAAGAATTTTTCATACAGCCCCGCAACTTATCAATCATTAATTGAACATAAGCAATCGAAATCACTTGAAATTTAAATCAGTGCCTGCGCGAGCAGTTTGAAATTCGCCATTGATAAGATTCTGATACTCACTTAAACTTAACTCTAAGCAGAATTCATTTCGAGAAAGGCGATATGGAGATTACCGTGGCGTCCTCATCAACATCGGCGAGGCATTCGTCATTCGGGCTGTAAATTCCAAAGATAGAACCGGTAGACACGGCGGCGTCGATGTTTGAAGATCCATCCAATGGATCAAATACGACGATGTAATTGCCGGAATAGCTCTCCTCCACCGCAACCGGCACATCCTCCTCTTCCGATGCTATAATCCCCGTCCTCCCACTCGATCTCAAGCAGTTCGAAAATACCTACTCTCTCCCCAATCGTCAGAAAATGAAAATATTAAATCGAAGCAAATGAATATGAGATTCAATCAATTACCTCATTGGATACGACATCGAGCTTCTTCTGGTCCTCGCCCTGCACATTGACGGCGCCCTGGATGCCAGTGAGGTTGGATATGCCGGCGCGCTGCACAAGCGAGGCGATCTGCTTGCAGGCCATGGAGATGCTGGAGAGGACGATTGTGAGCTCGGCGTCGATTGTGCCAACTTGCTCCTGTTTCAGGAGCCATGTCGTTAGGGTCTGGATATCAAAGCTGCTCTTCTTCTTAGTCCCCGGCGGTGAGGTTTTGACGGCGGCCTCGTCGGTGCCGGTGACGGCGCATCGGAAGGGCGAGGAGGCGGAGGTGCTTCGGTTGATTCTTTTGGAGGAGGAAGGGGAGGGTTTGTTGAGGGGGAATGTGGAAAGACTGGGGGTGAAGTGGGAGGGGGAGGGGCGATAGAGTAGGAGGTGGGAGGAGTTTGGGATGGCGGCGGACGCCATGACCGAGCTGCGGAATTCTTCTTATATTTTGTTCGGTTATTACGGAATTTTTGCCCCATTTGTTAGCAGAGAGGGTTTCGGATTGGGTTGAGGTGAGCAATGGAGATGTGAGGTTGTTATTTCTTTCAGTTTCGAATGGGGCAGCTTATCTTTAGAAGGGTGACCAATTATTATTAGGAAGATTTACATACATACCACTTAATATTATTCTATTTATATATTTAACATCTAAAACTTTAATATTACATAAATACCACCCATAGTTCATTTTCATATCAAATATGAGTGGTAGAAATGAAATATATGAGTGGTAGGAAAGAAATATAAGTGGTATATTTGATATTAAAATAATATAGGATGGTATGCATGTAATATTAAAGTTTTAGGTGTTAGATATGTAAATAAGATATTATAAAGTGGTATGTATGTAAATTTCCCTTATTATTATTATAGCCGCTTAAACTTTATTTGAATATTGAGAAGAAATAGGATTTTTAATGAATCAAATGAAACTAAGTATTATCTTATTTAAATTGTTTTTTTTTTAAATTTGATACTTGGTTTAGTTAATTTTTAATATAATTTGAATTTTTAAATTTTAGATTTTATTTATTTTTAAATTGAGTTATTTTTAAATTGAGTTAGAGTTAAAATCCAAGTTGTCTTCCCACTTTGGTCGCCCAATTTCAAATTCTAAAAGCTATGCTTAGACAACTTTGGTGGTCCAATTACAAGTCCGATTCTTAAGGCCCAATATGTAAAATTTTGATTGTGGGGATCTAGTGGGTGTTCTTAAACTTATTCAGTTATTTGATCAATATTTTATTTAAGATGATTTTTGTTGATATTAATACAAATGTGATAGTTAAGGTACACTTTAGCTAAAAATAACTGAGGGATCAAGGATACCAAAGTAATTTTTCCTATGCATTTGATTAGTATTTTACTCTATATTATTCAATGTTAAAATTATTATAGCACGCCTTTCAATAATATTAGAACAAAGTATGGAATTCATATAAAAAAAGGATATGTCGAGATATGATTATAAGCTTTATTTATTTATTTTAGTAGTGAGATTTTAGTTATTGGTTGGAATTTTATGCTCATTATGTGATTTTTCATTTTTTCTGATAAAGGCAAGGAGCCTGAAATTTGAGGATGGACAATGATGTCAATGTAATTTTATTTAAGTTTCTTTACTTTATGTATTCTTTTATAACAAGTGCTGGCTATTGTATATATTATTTTAGATTTTGAATGTAAAATATAAATATTAACTATAAAATATGAATTATGTTCATTAAATTTCTTTAATACAACTAATCAGCTCTAGATATTAAATTGGTATGGTTGTAAATGACTATCAATGTTATTAAAAATAAAAAAGAAATAAATAAATAAGAGAAAAAAGGAAAAGAAATTCTTCCACTTTTTAATCTTGGGATGTTGTCACAAACCATCATCAAACCCATTTTGTGATTTTCATCAAACTTGTGCAATGTCCATTATTGATTGAGATTTGTGTCCATTAATTTTTTCAACAATTTGACACATATCTTCTTAGGATTGCAAATTAATCGAGTGTTCGACCGAGCCTAGTCGGCGGTTCGACTTGACAAGAGCTCATTCATGTTCTTTTGATAAGCTAAATGAACGAGCTTAAGCATTTTTTATAAATACTTGATAGGCTTGAACAGGTTGGCATTCGGTTAATTTAGATTCTCGAACAACATCGTTTAATGCTCGTGAACAAGCTCGTTATGAAGCTCGATTAGAGCTCGATAAGAGTTTTGAAAATAAATATTATTAAATTAATTTTACTAATTTAAATATTTCATAATTTTTTTAATTCCTGAAATAGTTGAATCGACTGCGCTCCACTATTTGCACCCGCTCCGTTGTCTGTTCCATTCTCCGCTCCATTAAGAAGAAAAATAACCTCGTTCGTTTAGTCCCACACTGTGGAAGGGAGTTCATATTGCTCCATTTCCATTTTTTGTATTTAGCTTTTTACCCACTCTAATTCCAAGGCATTATTCTGTGTAGATTGCCGAACACAATCCGTAGATCAATCATAGATACGCACTGTTTTGAAACCGGACCGGACGGGCCGGTTCAAGCGGTTCAACCGTGAACCGGTCGGTGGCCGGTCCCGATTCCAGCTTCAAAACCGGCTCTGCATAGCCGGATCAAAACCGGATTTAACACGGCGGTTCAACCGGTGAACGTTGAACCGGTCCGGGGTTTGGAAAGAACCGGCCGGTTTGTGAAAAAATATTTTTTTTGTTTTAATTAAAATTTTAAATATATATTTTAGTTTATTAAAAATTTTTTAAACTTTTTAAAATATTTTTATAAATATAATGATTAATTTCATCATAATACATGCAATGAATCTTACATTATCTCACCATAATTTATTTTCGCAAAAAGAGTATCTTCTTCACATTTATAAAGAGTTCCAAGGAAGGATGTTCAACCTCCACCTTGATGTGGGACTATAAAAAAGTTGCCATACTTGCATGAATACTTTAAAATTGGTGAATTTGGGCTTATTTGGGCTAGTTGGGCTTCAAATTTTTCTTAGTTGGGCTTTAAATTTTTTGTTTTAGTTGGGCTACAAATTTGAATGATATGTATTATGAAATTGCTTATAATATATATTATAATAATTATGTTATAAAAATATTAATATTATAAATTATAATATTATATTTAAATATTTTCTTATAAATATATTAAATTATAAATATATTATTTTTAAATGATATTTTTATATTTTATAATTTTGATTATTTGATTATATATATTTTATAAATTTATAAATATTATTAAATGGTCATATATTCAATTATTTAAATTATATTTATGATGATAATTTTTTATATTATAAATTATATTATTTATATTAAGTGTTTATTCTTATAATTATATTATTATAAATGATAATTTATTATGAATAAAAATTTATAAATATATTAAATGCTCATATAATTATATTATTATGATTTTTATTTTATTAAATTTTAATAAATAATTATTTATTACGTCATGGTGCCGGTTCGACCGGTCGAACCGTGAAACCTCTCCTCTTCTGTTCGTGTCCGGTCCGATTTTCACAACCTTTGATAATACGTTCATTATCACATTTTCGCTCAACAATTACTGATGGTGATTGCACTGCGATACACCTTGGATGTTAAACTGCTCCAGCAGAATAATTTCTCAATAGCCAAGACCAATCCTCCACCTTTCCTCACTAGGAAATAGCATAATAGGCTGGTAGCGTGTGATTTGGGACCCAGCAGGTATCCATCCCTACTCTCGTGATATCAAACCATTAAATGAATCCGGCAAAAGTTACCGCCACCTGACGGTGGAGCGGACAGCTAACACCCTAACATGATCAGCCGAGCTCTGTTTGGTTGACTCCAAAGAGTAGATTGAAAAATTTTTAATATAAAAATTTTAAAATTTGATATTTAATCTAAAATAAATAAATACAGAACGAATATTTTTGCATTTAGAATACATAATTAGTTCATTTCTTTTATATTTAAAATTCTTTCAGCTTGAGCTAGCTTAAATACATCGAAATTTATTGCGACTGTACCAATCACCGCTGCCAATCCCAGACGACTACCTTTTTTCACTTTACATTACATTCGCTTTGCTACAAATCAAATGAAAAATTTATGTCAGCATTACTTTACCACTAATCGGAACAACTCTAAAAAATTTATAATACGTACAAAAAGCTTTCAATAAAATTGTTTCCTCACCCACAACTTCACAACCATCTTAATAAAAAAAACTGCAGAAGCCTTGATACATACTCCAAAAATTTATCTTGATTGGGCATGAATCTCGAGGCAAAAGCTAGTTGGGAAACTTCAAAAATATTAATTTTGGGAGCACCCGAACTCCTTTCAACGAGCTTACAGCCAAACTGAGCGTCTCGGAAATACAAACCAACGACACCAAGATCAACCCAATCTGAGCCCAAATGAGGTCCAAATCAAGGGTCAAAGCGCTGTTGAGGTTCAAACCGCAATTTGGAGTTACCAAACGGTCTTTGATTTTGACGAGCTTATACTCGAATCGAACGGCTCGACGAGACGAATCCAACGGAGCCAAGATCATCAAAATTCCGACATCATTAAGCCTTCAAATGTCCAACGAACGGTACAATGATCAAAGGATTCAATATCGGCCGTCCATTCAAACCACTCCCAATTCGCCCTTGATCTCACGCCTATTTACGGGCCATGCCACTCCATAAAATCTATAAATAGAGCCCTCATTTCTCATGAGAAGGGGGCCAAGCAAGAAGAGAAGAGGAGAAGAGAAGGAAGAAGCTCCTCCCCGACCACTGCCGGACCACCGCAGGAACCTCGCCAGACCACCGCAGGAACCTCGCCAGACCACCGCAGGAATCTCGCCGAACCACCGCCGGAACCACCGCAGGAACCTCTCCGAACCACCGCAGACCTCGCCGGACCACCGCCTTTAAGGCCCGACGTTCAGGCCGACGTTCTACCGAAGGTCTGACATTAGGTTCGACGTCCTGCCGAGGACCCGACGTCCTGTTCAAGTCCCGACACTCGGTCCCTAGTCCTGCCGAAGACCCGACGTTCTACTGAAGGTCTGACATTCAGGCCCGACGTTCTGCTGAAGACCCGACGTCCTGCTTAAGGCCCGCGTTCAATCCCTACGTCCTGCTGAAGACCCGACGTCCTGCTTAAGGCCTAACATTCAGTCCTGTCTTGCTGAAGACCGAACGTCCGGCTTAGGCCCGACATCAGACCGGGTCTCCTGCCGACTACGGTCTTCCCGACCTCCGTCGCCTACTATGGTCCTTCCGACCTCCATCAACAGACAACGATCTTTCTGACCCCGGTCTCCTGCCGACTACGGTCCTTCTGACCCTCTGTCACCTACTATGGTCCTTCCGGACCTCCATCAACAGACAACGGTCTTTCTGACCCCGGTCTCCCTGCGACTACGATTCTTCTGACCTCTAGTCGCCTACCACGGTCCATGCCGACCTCTCACACCAGACAACAGTTTTTCTGACCCCAGTCTCCTACCGACTACGGTCCTTCAGGCCTTCGTCGCCTACTATGGTCCTTCCGACCTCCATCAACAGACAACGGTCTTTCTGACCCCGGTCTCCCGCCGACTACGGTCCTTCCGACCAGACAAACATGTATATGTAATTCCTACTATGTAATGCTATCTATATGATGTACATTTGCTACATCAATCCAAGGCCTTCTCCTAAGGAAGGGCCTCATTTGTAATCGACTACAAATACTAGTGGATTCATTCAAACTGGGCCAGGCCCCGTGGTTTTTCCCCCTTTTCAGGGGTTTTCCACGTAAAAACTTTGGTGTCTCTTATGAATGCTACACCCTCTCACTTATCTGCTTGTATGCTGGATCTTCGTACAATGCTAAGACGTTAAACTAAATATTTCTCTACCGCCGCGAATACTCCAGGACGCAACAAGCCTAAATAAAACTAACCTGATTATAACTGTTATTTGATTGGTGTGCCATAAAAAAAAAAAAAAAAAAAAAAAAAAAAAAAAAAAAAACAGTGTGCTCGTAAGTTATATATTAATAATTTGATTAATATGAATTTAATAATTGGACAATAATATGTTAGCCAGATTTTATTTAATACCATAATAATAGTTGCAAAGTCCATTACTTAAGAGAAATAAATTAAGGCCAAAATTCAACTAATGTCTACTCATGATAGAGCCTCCCACCTCATAAGTCATAAGGTATCCAACCTAAATAAACCTCAGCATATTAGGCAAGAATTACTGTAGAAATTCATAAATTAAAGTGTTAAAATAAAAAAGCTTTATATTAGAAAATATTTTTTGTTAACAAGATCATTATTTTTTTATGTTTGGAATAAATAAACTAAATTTGAATAAGAATTTCAGCCGTTGATTAAATAATTTGAGTTTGAGAACGAAAATGCATACTCAAATCACTTATGTTGAGCTTGAGCCAACCTAACTAGCTAAAAGAGGTCGATCGATCTCACGTGTGAATTAGATTGGACAAGATCAATCAGTGGCCAAAGGGCACAGGGCCCCACTAGTTCGCCAGCTCATAATTGATTATTTATATTTTTAATATTAAAGCTTAAAATTAATTGATTTGAAATCCTAATTAACCTAATTAAATGATCAATATTAGAATTTTGCAAACCATGTTACTACCATTAATCTCCATTGCAGTTGACAACACTCTAGCGCTTAGCTTTGGCTTCGTTTGGAACGGCTTTCTTATTGCTTCTTAAATCATCTTTATAGTACAAAAATTAAAAAAAAAATTGAATTAAAAAACTGCTTTAAGAACCAAATGCAAATAGAATTGGCCAAAAACATCAAGCCATATGCTCATTTTGCAAGCACAAGAAATTTTTTATTAATATTTATCGAAGCCTAAAATCAGTAATAGAATTCCATGCAGTATGAAAATGTATGCAAAGATTTAAAACAAGATCTGTGGCACTGCAAATCCAAGCTTCAATTGTGACAGTTTTCTTAACCCACCGCTGCTTGTCCGGGTGGTGAAGAGCCTGCTGGGCAAAGCCTAGATCCCTGGTTCGAATCCCTTGGCAAACAGTGAAAGCCTTAAGTGTTGGCCCATGTAAATTGGTGTGGGTTGCATGCTAGGTCGACCGGGTTTTCACTGGCCCAAGAACAGTATTTCCTTGTCACGAAAAAAAGGCAGTTTTTTTACTGCTTTTTAAAGAAGCTCTTCAGTACAAAATTTCTTTTAAAAATTTACTTTGAAAGCTATAAAATAGATGTGACAAACAAAATCTAAGAATTAAAAACATGTCTCTATCATCAAACCAGCGCATAAAATCAAAGATAGCGGCAGTTAATCTTCTATATCAATTCTGTTAGATAATTAACTAAGCGTAATTAAATTTATTATTTTCTGTACTCAAACCGGTACATCAGGTATAATAGCCAGTTCAATATAACATTAACCTTAATAACTTATTCAAACTTCTAAATAAAAAATTAATGAATTTTTTTAACTTATATTCAGTCTTTGTCAACCGCCATACGCTTCCCATTAGTTAAATCCTAGCTACATGTCCATAGAAGCCTCCAAGTCTGGAGAGATGATTAAGTGAGAAGTTCAGGCCTAAGCTACGTCCAATTTTCGTGAATGTGCACAACAAAAACATAGTAAAAATACATTGATAAATAATAACTGGATTTTTACTGTGCACACTCACTAAAATAGGATAGTTCTCCAATCCGGACTCAACATGTAATAATCCCTCGTAAGTCTTGGTCAGCAAACAAGTCATTAAGTAAAGATCATCCCTAACTCAACTAAGAGAAATTATTACGTGCAGAATCCGATTATGTCCATACTCCAATAAAAATGTAACATGTGTCCTTAGGGCATCTCCAACCGAGAACGTGATTTTCACGGCAAAATAAAGCAAAACTCCAAAATGCCGTGATTCTACTCCAATCGAACTCCATTTTAGATGCTTCTGCGAAGGTAACGATCCTTCTCCCCTTTCGCGCGTTTTTTTCGTCAAATCCGGTTGTGAGAGCAAAATAGTGTGGGTGAACAGTGTAACGCCAATATATATTGACTTCGAACTGTTCACCCATAAGTAAATGGCGGAAGATTTGGCGTTCGGTAGCGCTGTAGCGACTGAACGATGTCATACGCATGTTTGACGTTCGGCTGGAGGTGCTCTTATACACAATGTGTACAACTTCACACACTATATATAAATTACAAAAGTATATACATAATATACTGTGTACACAATTATACATAGTGTACAACTATATACAAAAACAAATGTCACATTTTTAGTAAAGTACGAACGTAACTCTACATTCGGACTCATTGAGTTATAATTTCTCCTCACCTAAACCAAGAAAGAAAGTTTCCCCATCACTGCCCTGCTCACTCTCAATCAAGATAATAATATGTTTGTAACTACTAACTAAAAAGATATAGGATCTAATAGGATAAAATTCAATTACACTTGCCCATTTATATCGTACATTCCCATTTTTGATAACTGGCTGGAAAGCTTATACGCGAAGAGGAAAAGCGAAGAGGAAAAATAAACCTCATTTGCGTCGATGTCTGCTAGCGTCTGCTCAACTCTTCGGCTTCTAGCTTCAACAGAGGAAAAAAAAACCTCATTTGAAGCCTTCTACCTCTTCTTCGCCAACGGTGTGCAAAGCTAACAACGTCTCCATTCTTCTCCTTCGCAAAGCAAGAAGTCAACCTTGTCTCCTACTACAAGCCTGCTCTCATTCCCGATTTTTCTAGGCATGCTCATGAGGTCTGTAAGTGAGGGCATAACTCGCTTTGGAAAGTTCTTTCATCCCCTCTTTCAGTGAGATAACATTAAAATTATTTATAATTTTGATTTTTGAATGCTTTTATGAAGTTGATGCAGCTTTTGGAAAGTTCTTTCATCCCCTCTTTCAGTTAGGTAACTTTAAAATTGTTTATAGTTTTGATTTTTGAATGCTTCTTATGAAGTTGTTGTAGCTTTTGGAAAGCTCTTTCATCCCCCCTAGCTCGTGTCAACCTGGAAGCTTGGACACTCTACAGATTCCTTCACCCCATATCCACTCCACAACATTTTGCTATTTGCAACATATTGCAATCTAATAATAAAAAGCTATTATTATTATATTACTATAACAACCCGGAAATAAAATAATATATATTTCTTTTATTATTACTTACAGACTAATTATATAGCGATTTTTTTTAAAATTTGCAGAGCTACCCACAAAGCAAAAGCCTGCAAAAAGGGAAAGGAAGAGCTGCAATGAGTGCAAAATATTATTACAGAAACACCCGACACTTCTTCTACAAGCCAACGAGGCAATCATCGTCTTTATTTCTTCTATTCGATAACTTTTTCTTTTTTTTGCTTCGAGGGTACAGATAGCCGGCCGAAGACTCTGTTCCACTTCTTCCCGCATTAGCTTTACCCAACACCAATCCAAAAATCCATGGCGTAAACTACGACTGAACTGTAACTAATTCTAATTCGAATCATATATATTTGATTTTCTACTGCTAAGATGGAAAAGTTGGTGAGCGATGGGTTAATGGGGGTTAGTAGGTCCACTCTTTCGGGAGTCGGATCTCATGGCCGGAAATGGCGGCCGGCGGTGGCTGGTAGATGTTTCGTTTCGGCTCGTTGTAGGTGGGTTGAACGCGAGCAGACGCTGTTTCTGGGGGATTGGAAAAGAGTCAATAAGCCAGAGAAAGGACGAAAGAGCGGTGAAGAGAAAGGCGCGATAGTAGTTACCGTGTTCGTGAGAGATGTATGCTGGGCAGCGAGATTGTACTGCAGCGTCGTCAAGGGTTAGATTTAACGCCTGCATCACTCTCGCAGGAAGGAGAACGGTAGAACAAGCTGGAAAAGTAAGAAGAGAAGATTTAGTTATTGATGCGAAAAGGAAGTTGATGATTTAAGAAGAAGGCAAGCTGATGTTTACCAGACTTTTTCCCGGTGGGACTGCCAGCTCTGCGAGGAAGAAAAACTCCGGTACCGGCGGACTCGCGCCGACCTCCTGGATGGTTAAGAAATATGGCTCTCATTCCAGAGCTTGGTTGCTGCTGCTGAAGGGCTGGCCATGCAGATGAAGCCGAGCCATGGGACCGGTTGCTTATCGCACCGACTGCTCTGTTCTGTCTATTCCACGCAGAAGAGAGTTGTTGCTTGATTAACTGCTGCTGCTTGAGTTTGTAGAACTGTAAATGAAAAAAAAAAGGGAGAAAACCCCACTCATCGATCACTAACCCCTTAGTTTAAAATGGGGGAAATCATCAACTAGTTCAAACTACCTGCGCCGCTTGGATCTGCTGCTGTGCAAGGTCTTGGTTGTAGTATCCGGCAGCTGCAGACGACTTCGTATGAGCCGAGGGATTCTTCATCTGGTAAAGAAGCCTGCGTTCTTGATCCCTCTGCTCATTCTGCTTCTTCCTCAGAATTTCCCCTGCTGCCGCATAGAGAAGATCCATCGCATCCTCCTTCCTTTTTTCGAGAAAAGTCGAAAGAGGCGGAGAAACTTTTGAACTTCCGTTTGGCCGACCCGCGCACGAAGCCGACCAGATTCCGGCGTCACACAGCGTAGACTGCGGCGAGGTAGCCAAAACCTGTCGGAAGAACGAAACAGCCTATCTCAGCACAAAAGCCAAATTAATCACAGAAAGAGACAGAAGAAAAGGGCAGATTCATACCCTAGTATCCCAAAACGAATACTTATTATCTTCCGCAAGGAAGGAGTGAGCCATCTGCCGAGTAAGCCCAGCTATGTAATCCTCCTCATCACTCTCCGTCTCCATCCTCATATTAGAGGAAGCAAAGCTTGCGTTCTCTCCCACCAAACCGCTTTCCTCATGAAAAAAACCCTCGCCGATAAACTCCGCCGGCAGCCATAAATCTCTGTCTTTCAACTTCTCCCCCATTTTCTCTCCCTCAACGACCAAGCAAAACAGAAAAGTGCTCAAAAACTCAGCAGGCGTTTCTTGATTTGAAAAGAAATAATGATTGTTCCAAAATTTTCTCTCCCCCTTTCTTCACCTGCTCGGGCCCAGACGAAGGGAAGAGAGCGAGAATGCTAAGCGTCCTGGCTTCAGTAGAAGGTAGGGGAAGGGTTGTCAAATCGTCGTTTCCAGAGAAAGGGGCAAATAAATACTTAATTTAAATTTTATAAATTTATTAAAAAAAATAGAAAAGGAGAAAGAAAAAACCCCAGCCCAAACTTCCATCTCGTCACTTAGCCGTAGTGGTTGCAGCAGTCATTTGTCCGTCAAGCCAACCCACCTGCCAGTCTGCTACTTTTTTTTTATTATTTCAAGCAATAAAATAAGATTTTAATAAAAAACTAATAAAATTTTATCTTAAAAAGATATTTGACAGCATGACTAATCTTCAGCTGACCTAGAAGAGACATCCAATTCAGAAGCCTCTTGGCTCAAACTTGATTGGATCCCACTTAAGAGGCGTTGCTACTTGAAGAGAATCGAGCACAAGTTGGGATTTTCCAACGGTACTCGCTCACTAGCCAAGCTAAGCATTAGCGAGTATTGAGCGATTCTCACAAATGCCACCACATGAGCCTCATTTTTTTTTTATTAAAATATTACTTTATAATTTTTTATTATATTAATTTATAAAAAATAATCCTTTGTTCATATTTTTTTCATTTTAAAGAGTTGATAAAATTAAGTGGTACATATTAGTGATGAGCATAACATTTTAATGATATGATAATAATAATAATTGTTGCGTCTTGGAATATTTGCGGCGGTAGATAAGTATATAGGAAGATGCAGCACACAAGCAGATGAAAGAGAGAAGGTGAAACATTTATAAGAGATAATAGAGTTTTTATGTGGAAACCCCTAAAAAAGGGGGAAAACTACGGGTCATTGCCTAGTTTGAATGAATCCACTAGTATTTGCAATAGATTACAAATGAGGCCCTTCCTTAGGAGAAGGCATTGACTTGATGTCACAAATGTACATCATATAGAGCACATCAACATGGACATAATGTTTGGTTGGCATGATCATAGTCGATAGAACATAAGTCGAAAACACCGTAGTAGGCGACGGAAGTTGGAAGGATCGTAGTTGATAGGAGACTGGGGTTAGAAAGACTGTTGTTTTGCGAGGGAGGTCGGAATAACTGTAGTTGGCAGGAGACTGGGGTCAGAAAGACCTTTGTTTGGCTAGGGAGGTCGGAAGGACCGTAGTAGGAGGGCGGTACTCCGGTAGAACTCTTGGCGTCAGGTGGTAGTCTGGGAGAAGTATGGGCCTTAGGTGGTGGTCCGGCAGCAATCTGGTGTCAAGCGGTGGTCCGCTAGTCGCATTTCAGCGTTAGGGGGCACTCCAGCTTCGGGTGACACTTCGATGTCCTTGGATGGTCTGGTGGTGGTTCGACAAAACCTGGCGGTGGTGCGGCAGAGCTCCGGCGGTGGTGCGGCAGAACTCCAGCGGTGGTGCGGCAGAACTCCAACGGTGGTCGAGGAGGAGGTAGGCAGCTGGAGCTTTCTTCCTCATCTTCCTTCTTCTCTCTTGGCTCTCTCTTTTCCTTTTCAAGAGGAAACGGAGCTCTATTTATAGAATTCTTGAGTGGCATGGCTTTTAAATAAGTTGAAGATCAAGAGTAAATTGGGAGTAGTTCGAATGGACGGCCGATCTTAATTCCTACGATCATGCACCTTTCAATAGACCTTTGACTATCTTAATGATATCATAATTTGATGATCTTGGGTTTGTTGGATTCGTCTCATCGAGCTGCTCGATTCGATTATAAGCTTGACACGATTGAAGATCGTTTGGTAACACAAATTGTGATTTGATCCGTCCAAAAGTGCTTCGAGTTTTTGATTTGGACTCATTTGGGCTCGGATTGGGTCGATTTTGGTGTCGTTGGGTTTGTGTTTCCGAGATGCTCAGTTTGACTATAGGTTTGCTGAAATCTGGTCTCCGATTTAATTTTTGAAGTTTCCAACTTGAGATTCGTGCCCGATCAAGGTAATTTTTTGATGATATATCAATAATAATAATAATAATAATAATATGTTTAGTTTGTTAAGAAGTTTATATTGTGTAAGACTTTATTTTGAATAACTTTTAAATATTTTATGAAGCAATCTTTAATAAAAAAAATTTATATAAAAAAATGGCTTTATAAAGCAGTAAAAACAAAAAGCTATCCGAAACACCTAAGTGTTTTTTTGTTAATTATAACTAAGAATTTCATGTATTCATATAAGGCTACAAGGAGATTAAAAGATTTAGAATTTTTGTACTATAAGTTATTTTTTGTCAAGATGGGTTAGATGGGATTAGCTAAAAAAAAAAAAAAGATTAAAATATATTTTAATTTCCAGGATTTTGTTGGCCCAATAGTCTTACTCTAGCTTGGCTAAAAAATGTAATCAGGCTAAGTCCTATCGAGTCAACTTCAAAGGAAATGTTAGAATTTTGTGCACAAATATAACTATTTGTCTGATCATATCACGAGTATCATACAGTATAAATGTCGAAATGATATATTCAAAAAATGTGGGTGAACATCTCACTATTCACCTACGTCATTTATTTTGCGTTACAGGATTTGCCGAAAAAATGCGTAAAAAAGGAGAAAGATGATTATCTTCGTAGCGATATGAAGAAGCGTGCGAAAGAGGAGATAGAAATGGAGTTTGATCGGATATGAATTACTACATTTTATAGTTTTATTGTATTTTGGAAGGGAAAATGGGTTTGTTGGTTGGATATGCCCTTATATAGGAGAGATTATTTCGTGCAGACGTTGAACGCAGCTCTACAACCAGATACCAATTAGAATAAGTCACGTCAGCTATACCGAGGCGTGGTATTGAGCTGTACTGAGCCTCGGTACTGTGTGTTAGCTTATAACCTTGTTACTCATTGTATTTACTGTTATATCATTGTATTTCCTATATGTACACTTGTCCTGTAACACTTAATTCATTGAATACATTTTTACTTTCTTCCCACGGTTCTCTTCTCTGTTCCATCTCTTGCTTTCTCCAGAGGTTCTCGATATCCTCTTTCACTGCGGTACCATGCAGTACCGAACGGTATCGAGCCACAGGCTTAGATATCCGGACGGTGTTCGACTTTTACTCAGAATAACTTTTCTTTATATAGAAATAGTTTCAAGAGAAAGAGAAGGGAGAAGAAGAAAAAAAATGTAATGAAAAAATAAAATATAAATAAGCAATAAGACCTAATATGCCAAAATTGTTTCCAAATCAGTGAGCTCATCAACTTTAAAATCTTCTAGTTTCATGAGTATCAAACCCATTTTATTGAGCCTGTGGCTTAGTATTTATGTATAAAGGTGATCTTCTTTATAGTGTAGGCTGAGAAAAACAGTAAGAGAAATGAGCTTAAAGCTAACATTCATTGTTGAATTAAATCAATGAGGTGATCAAAGTGCTAACGTACGTACATAAAAGAACTGACATTCAGCCTCAATATTATTAATGTGATTTAAAAGCTTGATCCGTGAAATATATTTGGAGGCTAGTGATAATGGCAATTAATGACACAAAATCAAGCACTTAAAGTATGATAGGAGAGGAGAGGCATTGTTATAAGCAAATGGAGAGGAACTCCGGATGAACTGTGAATTGCCAAAATAGTTCTTTTAATGAGGATTTTGGAGAGGCAAGCTTTCTAACAATATGGAAATTTTGAAAATAATTTTAAAATGAAAATTGAATAATTTTGAAATTTATGTACTTTGTCGTTGTGATTAGCTCTGGCGGAGAAATACTGGGGCGTTGAAATTCGACCTGGCGGCTTTGATGATCTTTGTGACTTTGTTCTATAATTACTCTAAAATGTGGATGCAACATTGCGGCGCCTAGTTTGATCTTCGTGCACCATGGTGCAACCTTTTGAACTAGGCCATCAGTTGAAAAAAATCCAAAGTTATCTGAAATTAAATTTCTCTCACTAGAAACTCATTCTCTTTCTAGTGTCAATTGCCTAAATTGGTCAAAATAAATGGAATAGAGGATTTAAATAATTTAAATATTAAAATTTGGCCTACCATCGCAGCGTGACGCAATGCTAGCCATTGCGCTCCCTTAGAGGGCCCATAGCGCAGCAGAGTCATCCAGCGCTACCATACTGAATCAATCTCTAATTTTCTCAAGAGCATTGATGTCAAAGCGCCGCATTGCCCCAAGTTAAAATTTTCAAATTTACATGCAATCAAACCCTTGGGACACAATTGAACACATGCAGACTCACATGTACACATAATTAATAGGGAACACCCTTCCAAACACATGCACAAGGGGTTCAAAAGCAAAAATTTAGTGGGTTACTGTTAGGATCTTGGAAGATGTTCTTGAGAGAGAGAGAGAGAGAGAGGGAGAGAGAGAGACAACAATTGGGGAGGAAAATACCTCAAGCTTCATTAATTTTCCCCAACTCTTACATCAACCCAAGGCCTCTATTTATAGAGCATTACCAATGTGTGATAACATGCATGAGCAAAAAAGCCTAAAACTAAAACAACTCATAACAATCTCCACCTTGATTTAGTTTTACAAAAAACCAAAGAACCACTCGTCACAAGAACTCGAACTTATTGCAATCCAACCGATCGCCCTGGACACCCGTGCGCGCTCCTACCTGCGACTTCG